CTGTTTCCAAAGTTGACAGCACAGTTAAAGTTTCCAAAAGTTCAAATTATATATATGTATAAATATATATATATTTATATTTATATACAAAGACCAATAATAGCAGTATGTTATGCATCAATAGCAGCAACAGCTTTTCCAGGTTCTGCAGTCATCTGAACAAAATCATAGACATCCAGCACACTCCATTAAAAAAACAAAAACAAAAGAACAAAGAAAAGAATAATACCCAGAAAACAACAAAGTTCTGTTACTGTTGTGGTACCTGGCACCATTTTTTTTATTAGCATCTTAATCATCGTCTGGAAAGAAAACATTCTAGAGTAACATCATTAAAAACAGCTCTGATAAAGCACGGTCACTACTACATATCATAAATCAGGTACAACATATTTTACATTCACAGAGATATGATACAGCACTGTCCTACATCTATAATACTAGAGGATACAATTAAAAAGGCATTATTTCAGACTTGATTCTCCTTTTTCCAGCAGAGGGCCCAAAGGATGATACGACACAGCTCTGTAAAGAAATGTACTTTCTTAGATAGGGTTTCCTTTCATTAATGGCACAGTTTAATTTCTCTTCATGAACATCAGCTAAAAACCATTTTTTAAAAACCTGGGGTAAACACAAAACAACAGAAGAAGAAGAAGAAGAAGAAGAAGAAGAAGAAGAAGAAGAAGAAGAAGAAGAAGAAAAGGATTCATACAAAGATGATTGAGTGAAGGCAAGCAATACTCAACCTAACTAGTGTTTTATCAAATCTGTCGTGTTTGAAAAGTAAGAACTCCACGGAAGAGAGAGACGCCAAGTAGCTTCAGACCACAACCAGAATTGCATCCTTTCAGAGAGAAGTTGTAGGCAAACATCACTCATTTGGGTATTTTCAAGGATGCTAACATCGATATTTAATCCTTGCTCGCACATCCACGAAGAAGGGGAGATCAGTTACTACTGTACTTTGATTTTTTCAGTGTTAGCACTCTCGTGTCCGTTTCCAAGCCTCATAGGAAACCTGCAGGTGGCACTGTTTACAGAGCTAATGGTCATCTCCCTGGAGTTCCCATGGCAGTTTCTTCAACTCTTGGGTGTCCTCTGGCCCCTTCCATGTCCTCACCACCTCCTACCTCAATCTCAGTAGATACCTGGGCCCCCTGGAGCAAAAAGAAACCCACTAGAAGCTGACACCTTGAAGGATCACAAAGAGCTTACTCACATTCCCAGTGCCTGGCACATAATCTGCATGCAACAAAGCATTCCATTTTAACAAACCCTCCTGTAGTCTCTTTTTCTCTTCTTTTCCTTCTTATTAATAAAGAAAACACGGACTCTCCATCTTCAGGATGACTACCCACCACCTGTCACTCTCCTTTGGTCCAGAACCCTGGTCCTTGTTTGGTTTCCTGCTCAGAACCATGGGCATTAACTTCTGCTTACTCTCAGCATTGTCTCTTCCTAAGTGACATTCTCCGGTTCACCCCACCCCCATTCCACCCAGGAAGTCCCACACCTGTCTCCACCTGAGGAAAGAGAGTGCTACCACGTGAAGGAGGGACAGACACTCCAGTAAGGGATTAAAGGGAAACTTTATGGAAGAAAGGCTATTGGGAAATAGCTTGGACGTGTTCTTAAAATGTTTGGAGTTAGTTGCCAAAATAATGAAATAAAAAATATTAAGAGATTTCAGGAAAAAAATACCATTTTCACAGGCTTCTCCTGAAATTTAGGAGGTTTGGTAATGCCAGGTCAATCGTAATCACGTGCCAACTGTCTCCTGTCGAGGAGGCTGTTCCAAAGACACACTGAACACAACTCATGCACTCCTGACTTTGCAAATGACTCTGCCACTCTGCCATCAGGATACTCTTCCACTGGAGGGTGGACTTGCCATGGTGGGTTTCTTGGAACCCTTAGGAGGCAGTGGGCAAGGTGGTGTGTGCACTTGGAAACTAGGAAAGGTAAGGCCGTGCAGCTTTTGTGGCTGTCTCTGAGTACTCATTTTCTGCACGCTCCCTTCACAAATGCTGTCTCTTCGAAGGCAAGCATCATGCTGTGAGGAAGCGTACACCATCCTGGAAGGGCCATGTGCAGGAGCCTTGGCCGCAGTCTCAGTGGAGCTCAGGCTTTCTGTCAACTCAGTGCAGGTGTGAAGAAGCCTCCAGAGAATTCCAGCACTGGGCTGAAGCTCGGGACCCTCGCGGATCAGAGACAAACCACCACTGCTGAGCGTCATCTGAATTTTTGATCCACAAAATCCAGATAATAAAATCATTGTTCTTTTTGACCACTGAATTTTGAGGTTTTTTTTTTTTTTTGTTACATAGAAAGAAACAACTGGAACATCATGTCTTAATGTTCTCCGGAACATTTAGTACAATGTCAGCACTGGTTGTTCATTATTTTAAATTAATGAGATCTGAGAGGGTGGAAGACACTTAAAGTATCTAGGTCTTTTATTTTTCCTTCTTTTGGAGCAGTCACATTTTAACGTGGTGGGGTGAAAAGAGCTGATAGTCGCTACAAAAGAGAACTATTTAGAAATAGTGCTTCTTAATTATTTTATTTTTAAAATTTTTTTTTACAAAGAGCAGCAGCTACATAATCTCCATAGACAGATACTCACTCTGATCCCTATTTAAAAGGATGGAATTTTTAAGGTGACCTTGGCTGTGAGCTATTTGTGTCACAGGTGGAGAGATGAGAATGAAACACGTCTGACCTCATTCCTCTGTCCTTCAGTCAAGGGCAACCACCCCCAGCTCTTCTCACCTTTCCGCACCCAAAACACACCAACCATCCAGAAAAAGCCTATCTAATGTTCTCCAGCATCCATTAAAACACTCCAAGACCTTCAGAGCCAGGTAGCCAAAAGGCCCTCTGTTGATACAATGTTTACCGAGATATTGCGAGAGTTTACTTGGCCTCAGAATTCGAAGAGGAACCATGTACAAAATACCCCATAAGAATATTTAAAACCCTGATCACAAACATAGTTTGTATTCACTACATTAAACATAAGGAAGCCCAAAGAAAAAAATTAAGATGACCTCTAACCTCAATTTCTAGAGAATAGCACTGTTATCCTGTAGGCCACACCCTTCTCTTTTGTTTTTATTCTTGTACATGAAGCAAATGGTGCCACAAAGGTCAGATCTCATTGTAACCCTTGTCCTTCCTCATCAGATGATACACATTTGCCATGTCATTAAATATCCTTCTCTAGTGTAATTTTGTGCATTGTATTCTGCTGTCTGAATGTATCCTAATTTATGTAATCATCTCCTTTTGTTTAACACTGAGATTATTTTCCAGTTTTCTCTTATTGACTACAACAGCATTGCCCATCCTTGCCTTATCTTTTCATATCCCTGGGCTTATTTCCTGGATAAACATGCAGCCAGGGAATTGTTGAGTCAAATGAATGATAGGTTAAAGAGTTTTGATCCTTATTGCTAAATTGTTCCCCCAATCACGTTCCCATTGACAATGTACAGGAATGTTGGTTTCACCAAACCCAAACCAAATGGAAAACATTTTCTTATGGTTTGGTGATCAGATGGTTGTAGTACCTTGGATTCAACAATAATATACTAGTAACCAATTCCAAAGCCTTGAGGATGTTTGGGAGAGAAAAAGGGCTCTCCAAGATGCAGAAGGAGCCCTTTCCCAAAGAGGAGACTCAGAGAAATAAAGTGATTTCACACAGACTGTCTGCTGTACACCTTTATTAGGAATTGGATCAATTATTAACAATTATTCCGGGCCTCTCTTCCATTTTAAAGCATTCTAATATAGGCAACTTCCCAAACTAGTTTTGCTAGATGAGGATGGCTAGAAGTTCTCTAAAATCATAAAACTGGGCCAAATCATCTTCGTGTTTGCTTTTAAACATTTCTTCTGAGTCTGGTGAAAGTGGCTGATGATGAGCCTGGTATCAGACCCAAAGAAGGGGTCGATGGTCTGTGAGAGAGACTGGCTGCCTTTCCAAAGGAGAGGATGCATGTCTTACAGTTTGTCTAAATGACCCCTGAAGCCTCATGAGCTCATAGTGGGGTTTTGAGGAGGTGGTTGGATCATGGGTGTGTGATACTCATACTGGAATTGTGCACTAATGAGTTTATAGCTAAATATGATTTGGAGAGGTGAAGACTGGGCAGAGGAGGTGGTCACTGGCAGGGTCTGTTTCTCTCCCTCCTCCTTTGAGCTCTCTCTGTTTCCTGTTGTCATGCCATGGGCTGTTTCTTCTCTCCCGTACCCCTCTGCCAAGCTGTAGAGCCCACCGCCTGTGGACTGGCACCTCTACAAACTGAGCCTAAATACACCTTTGCTCCTATAGGTTGTGGGTGCCAGGTATTACGCCTCAGCGATGAGAAAGTGATTAAGACAGCATGAAGTAATATCGCCTCAAGCTCAAGATGCAGGACACACCTTGGCAGAGGCAGCTGGTAAAGCTGAGAGGGACAGACTGTTATTGTGTGTGGCCTCTACTACTTGCAAGGGTCACTGCCTCATTTCTAACAACGTACTAGTCAGCAGCATGGCTCACTCCTGGCTCTGTAGATGTTTAGTACCCTGCACCCCTTGGATTTCTGTTCTCTCCCGACTTCTGTGACATCTCTTCTGTCTTCTGGACTTTGCCTCACTTTCTCCAATTTTTCCTTTCAGCTTTATTTTTTTAATTGAGTTTATTGTACATTTTAGGTATACAGTACAGTTATATTCACCATTGGGATCTTGCACCCTTACGTGACAGGTCTTGATTCGCATTTTTTCCCCTTACCCCTGCCCTCCTTTCACTCCCTCCTCCCTTCCCTATTTACAAATACTTCATTTCCATTTTTTCAAGTCTTTTTCTTTTCCCTTATTTCCTTTCCCCTACCCTTCACTTTCAGCTTTAAATACGCTGCACAAACCTCAGATCATGAACTCAAACATGTTCATTACTTTAATTTTTAAAATAACTGATTTCACATTCTGTTTGAAGTTTTGCTTTGGCAGATGGAGGAAACTACATGTCAGTAAACTCAGAGGCATCTCAGAGCTGTCCTCACTGCCCGGTTCTCCTTTCTCCTTCAAATTCCTGTACCTTCTGAGGGTGGAGGGAGACCAGCATCTGGTTAACATTCATCACTCTCTGTGCACACTGGGGCACCCTGAGGCCCCTGTCATTTCTGTCAGATCCCCTTCCTCAGCGATGAATGTCACTGCCACGTCATCCTAAGGCCGTGGGCTCTCTTTGGGGCTGGCGCACTCTGTATCACCCACCTGTAGGGATTATCATGAGATGCGCAACAGGTCATCCGTATCCGTGGGTTCTACATCCTCCTGTACTAAAAATATTCTGAAGAAGTTGCGTCTGAAATGAAAGCACACGGAATTGTTGCTTGCCATTGTATTAAGCACTGTAAATAATTGAGATGACTTAAAGGAACGTGCTGTTACGCAGGAGAAGGTGTGCCTAGGTCACCTGCAAATGCTATGACAGCTCATGTGGGGACTTGAGCATTCTTGCAAATTGGTGTCCACGAGAGGCCCTGGAATCGATCTCCCTCAGAAACAGAATGACAACTCTAAGTCTTCCTGAGGAGCTGCAGCACCTCATTCACGGATCCCCTGTGCCCCTTGGCCATTTCCGTCACTCCTGTTCCTTTCCGCGCCACACCCACCTTGGCTATATTTGATTTTAAAATCCCAACTTTTGGACACCGCTATGGATGGCTTAGGAGAAGGAAACAGAAAGGGATCCTTGAAACTGCAGAGACTACTTTTAATCCACCGCATTTTGTCATGCTGCTCAGGAATCTGTCTTGAGACTGAGACATTCTGAAATCGTTTCCGAGCCTGCCCTCCATCTTCTCTCTACCCATCTCCCCATGTAGAATTCCATTCCCAGAAGTTACTCTGAATATGAGGGCGCCTCACAGGTTCCATGGCTATAACGGAAAACAACTTCTGTATTACCTGGAAATTATTGCATTGCTTGCCCCTCTAGAATAAATGCATATGCACCCCTCACTCCCTGCGCTCCACTCCGCCATCCTGAGGTTTTTGTCATGAGGCTTCCTTGGGCCACTTTGTCCCCCGGTAATGGCTCAGGAAGTATGGGTAACACTTGTCACTATCTCACGTCACCGAGGATGTGCTGTTTTGCCAAGGACTGATGGGATCGTGATCTTGCATGAAGCAGGGACTCTGCCTCTGCCGCTGTGTCCCCAGGACCCACCATAGGCACACGGTAGATACTCAACAGGCATTTTTTTAAATTGACGAATTCTTCTAACATGCATTGAGACTCTCCCCCAAACAAGGCTGTGCCTTACACCAAGGGGGACTCTCAAGCCTAAAGGTTTCCATGGTGCTAAAAAAACAAAAAAGCCCATTTGATCCTGAGTGTGATGGTGAAGTTGTATCCGGGCAGATGGGTCATCCTCGAGGGAAGCAGGGCTTTCAAGCTATGCAGATCCTAATCAAACACTCCCATCACTAAATACTAAAGCGAGCCACACTTGGTTCCTCTTCTCACTTTTCCCTTGACAAGAACTTTGATTTAATTGACCAGGGTAGGTGAAGTGTATACTGAGTCATGCTATACACGTCTAAGTCCAAACCACTGAATCAACAGCAAGTACTGAGTCCTCAAAATGTGTGACAATGCATAATATTCTAATAAGATTACTGACATTGAGAAATGGGAAGAAAGGAGCTAAAGGTGTAGGGAAGGTGGGATGGGTAGGGGAAGAGTAAAAAGAGAAAAGAAAAAAATGTGAGAGAATGAAAAGATGAAAATAAAGTGTTTGTAGATGGGGAGGGGAGGAGGGGGTGAAGGGAGGGCAGAGGTAAGGGGAAAAAATGAGAATCAAGACTTGTCATGTAGAGGTACAAGATCCCAACAATGAATGTAACTGTACCGTATCCCTAAAATGTACCAATAAACTCAATTAAAGCTGAAAAAAAAATGTGTGTAGCGCTGGGCTTGGAGCAATGGCAATTGGGAAGGAAATGGAGAGGATTAAGGAGAAGAGCACCCTGCCCCAGGCTTTACAAGAGGTGGGGAGTTAAGACATACAGACCTCAGAAAACAACAGGGCAAAAACTAGATGATACAGTAGCGATCTCCATTCCCTCCCCGCAAAGATGTTTAGCAGTTAATGGATTAAAGAATAGATATCCCTGGAGGGATCGATGAAATCTTCAAGCAGAAGACACAGCCTGACCTGGGCAGGACGCTCCCCAGTCGGTGGTCGCGTGAACACGCCATTAGGGCCATCTCAGGACTTCGGATGTCTGGGAGCTATGCTCAGGGTTGTGTGCTTAATTTAATATACAACTCATTAACCTCATAAGCCTATTAAATACTGCTCTTTTAAAAATTCAAACACCACTTACCCATTTTAAAAGATCAGAGCCCAACGAGGAGTGGTGCATGGTCAGACTTCCCTGTGCCCCTTCCTAAAATGCTTTACGCTGGCTGTGTGTCACTGCCCCTCTCAGGGTCTCCTGGTCCCCGTGACCCTCACAGTCCATGTCCTCTGCTCTTCGTCTGGCCAGGTGAATGGCGTGTCCGTCACAGTGCTGGGTTCCTGCAGCACCTCCCGTGGTTCTGCTGCCCACCCCATCTCCGTCCCAATTCCCTCCCACAATAGCCCACTTTGCTATACAACTTGCTTCCCGCTGGGATCTCGACTGTGGGCGGGGATTTGGCGGAAGCAGTGATGTGCTTGGGCGCTGGGGTAGGGGAGGGGTTGGCTGCCTGGCCAAGCAGGAGGCAGTGGGGAGAGGGGTCTCACCCTGGGACTTGGCATCCAGTGGGTCAGTACAGCCCAGATGCCTGAGGTCAGGAACCAAACCCGCAGGTGAGGATACAGTGATCTCCCCGGAAGTGGAAAAACATACAAGATGACGAGCTTGACTCAGGGACCAAGAAGGTCCTCCGGGTGGGAATCACCCATTCCGGGATGACTGTGGACACTGAGCCATATGAACTTGTGTGGGTCAAAGCCATTGCCAAAGGAAGTCTCAAACACCAGGCAGCCGCTGCAGCCTGCTGCTCAGCAGAGCCCCGTTCTTCCTTTACTAAGCTGGCATCACCATTGCTATTATTGTCTGACCCCGAATGTGCTCGCTTGGTGGACAAACCGCAGGACAGGCAATTAGGAATATAATTCATGCAAGAGTCTTGCTTTGCTAAAGTTCCACAATTACCTGAAGAGCCTGTTTTTCAGTCTCTCCAATGGCCACTCAGACAAAAACAATTTTGTTTTCTGGATGATTGCCTCGCTTCTTTGGCTGTGTGACTTTTGCCCCAGTGGAAAAGTGATATTCATCATGTTCTGCTCCGTGAGCCTGTGAAATCAATAAACAAGGCGTCAGCTATCTGGGCTGGTCAGGGCCCCAACTGGTGCAGCAGAAGCCCCAGAGCTGAGTCCTCCACCCCCACCTCCCACGCAGCTCCTCTCCCGCTGCTGGCCTGGCCCTGCCTCTCCCTGGAGTGAGAGTGGCCACCACTGCAGAGGGGACCCTTCCGCAGAGCTGATTAAAATAATGCACGAGCCTCCACTGCACACATCTGACCAAGGAAAACCCCAGTCTGTGTCGGTGAGAGGCGTTCGACTACTTCCGTGCACGCCGGTTCCTATGGCGGCTCCTTGGTCTCGAGAGAGCAGTCAGGACGCCGAGGGAGATGCCTTGAGGATGTAACAGGGACGGGGCAAAGAGGGGCCCTTGGCTTCCGTGATGCCTGGGATTCTACTGTTAGAGATGTATTTCTTTGGCTTTTCAAGTCTTTTCTGCCTTTAAGAGCTTTGTACTACACTGCTACATCCAAGAGAAGGATGGTTTTCTTAGGCTCACACAAATAATGGTAGCAATGTTTATCCAGTGCTTCTCAGCACCACACCTGCAGAAGGCAGGTACTGTATCACCCCTTTCACAGTCCAAGGAACAGAGAGGCTCAGTAACTTACCACAAACCACACAGCTAATAGGCAGGAGGGCCAGGACCGAACCCGGGTAGCCCACTTTGGAGTCCATTACACACCTGCATCTCTCTTCTCCTTCTTGGAGGCAAAATCTGTTTCTCTCCAGCGGTGACAACTCTGCTAGAGGGTCAGGGTACAGCACAGCTGGATTTGGGGAAGCAGAAGGGGTAGGGAGTTAGAGTTAGGAAGGAGCAGAATCCAGGACGGACAGGAGGAGGCCAAGGGGCCATGAGTGTACTGGGCCTCTTCAGGGCTGCTCCGGGCTGCCTGGAAGAGGACCCAGACTTCTGCTATAGCTGCCCCAGGTGGAAGGACCAGCCCTGGCCCCAGGTCCTCGAAGTCCAGCTGTCACTGAGACGGAGGAGAACAGACAAGGGACACAAGCCAGAGCTCTCCATCAAGCTTGCCATCGAGTTCCGGCTCTGTTACCTTTTGTTTTTATTTTATTTTACTTTTTGCTGCATAGTTTAATACCATCTTTATTTTAAAATTTTTTAATTAGTACATAATGTTTACATTCATCTTAGGGAGTAGGTACATGTGCTTCACATGTCTTAATTCTTTTTATTCCCCTTCCCTTCCTCTCTCTCCAACTCTGGATCCCTTTCCCATTCGCAAAAGATCTGTCTCTCTGTTTCCTAGTCTCTATTTTGTTTCTTTACATTTTTTATGCTTTGGGTTTCTCCTTTAAAGGAAATCACGAGATATTGAAGCACGGGTGTCTGACTTATTTCACTGAACATCATCGTCTCCATCTACATTGATTTTCCCAGATGACTCCATTTTATCATTCTTCACGGCACAGTAGTACTCCCTCTTCTCTACTGTCACTCTTTGAAAGGGCAAGTGTGATGTACGCTCTCTGGACTCGGCTTCCTCACCCGTGAAATGGGAAAGAGAAGAGCAGAGATCACGCCCCAGGGGGTCATTGCGAAGGCAAAGCTTAGTGATGGCGGGCAGAGCTGATGGGAGAGCACAGCGGGCTGACATGGATGACGGCGGAGCTCGGTGAGCCTGGGGATGGGTGGGGAGAACTTCTGGGAGAGACAGGGGATCAGTGGGGCAGGAGGGCACATCTAAGGTGAGGTGAGATGGGTGGAAGAGTTGGGGTCCCAGAGAGCACCTCACACCCTGCAGCTGCAGCACGGGATGCCATGAAGCGTAGGGTCTGAGGCTGGTCTGGCCTGGCCTCTAAGCCCACTGTTCATAGCCTCGTGTGTCTCTGTGAGTGTTCACTTTGTGTGTGTGTGTGTGTGTGTGTGTAGTACAGAAATCGAACTCAGGGCCTTCGCACTGAACTACCACCCTAGCCCTTTCAAAATTTTTTATTGTTAGGATCTCACTAAGTCGCTATACTGCCTGGGCTAGGGTCAAACTTATGACCCTCCTGCCCCAGCCTTCCAGAGAGCTAGGCTTACCATGCCTGCATCCTGCCCTTCTTTTGTCCCCTTCCAGAAGGGAATTTGCTCAGGGTCTCCGCTTTGGCCTCTGGTGAGAGTTTTATCTGGTGGGTGCTGACTGGGTCCCACTTTAGATGCTGGGCAGTGAACAGCAGCTACGAGTAGTGGCGGGAGGAAATCTGTATCAGTAATCTTGGCCTGTATCATCCCTTGGCAGGGATGGGCAGAGGGCTCAAAGAAAGTGGTTCTTTGATGGTTTGGGGCATGCATGGAGGAAGGGGAGAAAGGCTCTGAGGTGAGAGCAGACACTGGACAGGAGTTCAGGTAGATAACTGGCCCTGGGGAAAAGGGAGCGCTGCTTCCCGAGGCCATGCAGATGCCAACAGGGTGGGGCCTTGTTATCAAAGCCTCCCAGTGACACTGGTGTAGATGAAGACAACTCCCAGCCCTCTCTACAATCCTGCAGGTGGAATTACCAGCTGAGGAGAGAACACCTTAGAATTTGCAAAAATGGTAATTTAACTTACTGTGTTCTAGGGTCTCCGGAGCTGCCATTTGGGTGTATTTGTCTTACTCCGCCATGTCAAAACAGAACGGAGATATCTGAAACTGATACTGTGATGAGATGGCTTTGCAGGGTCAGAACAGTTATGGAAAGTTTTTTCCAAAAGGAGAAACCTAGGCAGAGAATCTGTGGCCATCAAAAACGGAGAGCCACAAGGAGGGCACATCACGCTCTGTTAGGAAGGTGGCGAAATGGTGTCTGGCCAGGAGTGAAGCCACTGTGGGTTGGAAGATGCAAACTTACCACGGTGGAGGTTTAAATTCAATGTGGTCAAGGCCCAGTCCTTTCTGAGGCTAAAGGTGGATGCGTGGCCAGGACTGTCGGTGAAGGGCGTGGCCCATTATTACAGTGTGGTCAGTGTCCCCGGAACCCCACTACCTAAGTGTGTGAACTTCGTTTCTCTACCGTGTCACATGGGAGAGGTACACGAGAGGACAGAGTCACCAAGTCTTACGTAAAAATGCTTTCTCTGTGGGAAAGAAGATATATTATACAAGGTCAAAATCATGCCGGAGCGATTTACTAGGCCTTGCTAGGAGAGTGAGTAGTTGCGTGGATATTAATGCATGGACTTTCGACAAAACTTTGTCTTGTCAGAGGCTGTGATGAAACACCAACTTTCTGTGAAATCAGTGAAGATGTGGTCATGAACAGGGAATTGGTCTGGGGACAATGAACCCCATGAATGTGTCCCATAAAGTTGGCAACAGAGTGGCCCAGAGCAGAAAATCTCCAGGGTTGCCAAAAACACTAAATTCCTTGGTACTGAGTTATTAAGTCAACAGAAAGAGATTCTTGGAATGACATTGGGTAAAGAGCCATAAACAGCATACAAACACCAATTGCTCCCTAATAGCACTAACAGGGATTTTAACAATCATAATGATTTAGCCAGGGCCTGCTCTGTGCCAGGAGACTGGCATTAGCTACTCCCGACCCTTACAAGAGCCCTGCCAGTCAGATATGAATGTTCTGATTTCACAGGGCAGGACAAGGCAGCCTGGAGAAGCTGCCACCATTGCTGATTTTATCTGCAAGGATGTCTTAGTTTGTTTCAGCTGCAGTGACAAATACCCCAGGCTGGGTGGCTTCAGCAAGTTGCTGTATCACAGTCCTGGGAGACCAGAAGTCCAAGACCAAGGTGTCAGTGCCTCCTAGGGCTCTGTCCTTGGCTGGCAGGTGGCTGTCTTCTCCCACTGTCCTCTGTCTTCTGTGTGTGCGTGTGTGTGTGTTGGCGGGGTCTGAAGTGTTTCTGGGTGTCCAACTTTGCTTCAATGAGGATACCTGTCAGACTGGACTTTGCCCCCACCCCAACAGCTTCATTTTAACTTAATCACCTTTCTAATTATTTTTTGAAGTTAAAAGAAGTTTATTTAAAATAGCATCAGAAAAGGATATCATAGTCAGGAATAAACTGAACAGAAGTAGTACATGATTTGTATACACACAAAAAAAACTATGTAACAACACTGAAAGAAAGTAAATGAGGGGCTGGAGATTTAGCTCAGTGGTTCAGTGGCCTGCCTTGCAAGCGCAAGGACCCAAGTTCAATCCTCAGTACCAAAAAAAAAAAAAGAAAGTAAATGAGCTGTTAGGGAAAGACCAATGGTATTAGAAACTTGGAAGTCTTGCTATTGTTAAGTGGCTGGATTAGAGCTCTTGGTTCTTTAACAAATAATCACAAATTTGGTGGCTTAAAGCACAGAACTTCCAATTCTGGATGATTCTCAAGTGGTTTTTGCTGGATTAAAGTCAAAGTTCTGTAGGACCTCATTCTTTATGTGTGTGTGTGGCGGGTCTTTTTCATTATTTAGTTCTTTTGTTAGTATATATTTGTAGTACATAATGATCACATTCACTGTGGGGGGTTGGCACCTGAATATAACGCATTGTAATTCCTTTTTTATTCCCTTCCCTTTCCCTCCCCTCTTTCTCCTCTCTGTCTCTAATACCAGCACTTGGGAGGCTGAGGCAGGAAGACCACTGTGAATTCTGAGCTACACAGTGAGACCCCATTCCAAAACAGACAAACAAACAAACAAACAAATACTAATCACTCCCAGGGAAGATACAATTCAGCTCCTAACAGACACCCAGTACGTGAGTAAAGGAGAAACTAGCACAAGGAGTCCAACAAGAGTAAGCAGGGAATGCACCTTTCTTAGTGCCAGCCCTGGGGGGTGGATGAGGGGTTTGGGGAACCTGTACTGGCTAACAGAATTCCCAGTAGGCTATGCACAGAGTGGACTTGCATCTCTCCTTCCTTTCCACATCCCCTTCACCTATCTCAAATTAAATCATGAGCCTAACCTATAGGTACAAAGCATTGTGTTGCTCTCTTCATTTCCTTTGCCCTGGGATCTAAAATGCAGAGTTGTAAGGAGAGACCTGTTCACCCACCCCCACCCCAGGGCCAAATTAGAGCTCCAAGCCCAACATCATTCCACAGCACATAGTTGAGGTGGAGAGTGTGGAACGGGCTGAGGTTATTTGAATACTTTTCAAGGCTGAGATCCGTGCAACCCTAGGCCCAAAAACCCTCCTCTCTGAATTCAATTTGCAGCAAAGTAAACAATTTGTAGCAAGTAAACAGGGTGTCCATTGTGCCCATGTTCTGTGGATGGGGCTTCAAAGAAGCCTTTTGTTCTAAGTGATATTTAAAAAGTCTTCTTTGGCTATAAAAAGTTATTTAAAAATCTCTTTCCCAGTCACCCAAATACCTCTCAGCTGGAAAAGAAAAAACCCAAATCCACAAAACATATGAATAATAAGGAATGGTTACTTGTGGTCTAGGCTTCTAGTCTGGTCGATGGGGGTAGAGAACACCTTTTGGATGTCAGGTCTTGTGGAAGATGCAGAGAAAGTCGTAAATAAAGGTGAGAGTTTCCTGCTCTGAGAACTCACAGCTGGGCAAGGAGTAAAGATGATGAGCAAGACCAACAGATCTGGGATTTACACACTACTGCTTGGGAAGAACGTAAAGAAGCCAAGAGCATTCCCTTGTGCAACTCCAGGGGGCATCCTGCACTCTGGGAAAGCTCAGCCATGTATATAAGCTGCAGTGTGAACAATGCGTTGCCAAAGAGCAGACTTGGGCCTGGGCTAGAAGAAGAGTGATGCGGGCAGGAGAGTCAGCACTTGAATGGGATTTGGACAATGTGGGCAGTAGTCCATTTCCCAGTGGGGGCAGGAGGGAAGCCCCGCTTAAGCACTAACAAGTCATCAATAGGTCACAAAGTGCTCCCGCGGGAGTTTTAACAGCAACTGCTTACAAGCAACACCCTGACTCCCAGGACCTAGCGAATCCCCACGGTCGACTGACCTCCCGAGGTACCAGATTATCTGGAACCTATAGCAGGCTGGCTATGGCATCTCCACATTTCCATAATTCCCCCAGTTACTTCTGAGGAGCTCATGAGAAGCATCTCCCCACTGGTCTGCTGTCACGGATGGGTCAAGAATGAAGGCACATTAGAGTCACCAAAGTCATGCCTCTCCTTCTGCAGAAGAGAAACTGAGACCGAGGAGCCAAAGCCAAGTTTGGGGTGGAGCTGGGCCGGTCTACTGACTTCCTCCTCTAAAGTACTGTTGGATAAACCACTGTGATTCTTACTCCTTCTGCTCCTGCTGCCGATGGAGTCTTCAGTTCTCATGGTGAGAATAGTAACCCTTCATTGGATGGCATTTACTGCCATTATAATGTAAATATGAACGTTGATACTAGACATGTGATCAAGGTAAGGGAAGTATCAGATCCTCTCCTAGGAACAAATTTAGGTAATGTCCAGTGGTCCCCAACCTTTTTTACTCCAGAGACCAGTTTTTTGGAACCAGTTTTTCCACAAGGTGGGGTGGGGAAGATGGTTTCAGATGATTCAAAAGGGCACACAACCTAGATCCCTCCCATGCACTGTTCACAGTAGGGTTTGCACTCCTATGAGATTTTGATGTCCCTGCTGTTTGGACAGAAGGAGGAGCTCAGGTGGTAAAGATGGGGCAGGGATGTAAATACAGATGAAGTTTTCCTCACTTGCCACCCCTTACTTCCTGCTAAGTGGCCCAGGGCTCCTAATAGGCCATGACAGCACTCCTAGGGGACCCTTGCTCTAGGTTGTTGTTGTTGTTGGGGTGTGTGCATTTGTGCGTGCGTGTGTGTGTGCGTGTGTGTTGGACCAGGAGGAAGGCAGACAAGGGACAGAAGAGAGCTGAGAGGAGCCAAAGATAAATTTGCACACAATGCAATATTGCCTCCATCTGGCCTGGCTTGGACAGGCTGAATAACTCTGATTTATCCAGAAGACTTCAGATGCTGACCAAAGACTTCTCCAGATGCTCAAAAGTTGTACTTCCAAGCATAATCCTTGGCTCTCTGAGAACCACAAGTAACCCGTGCCACCCCCTTTCCTCTCCATCTTACTTTTAACAGCTCCTGGACAGATTTGCTTGTTTGTAGATACCTTCATTCCAGGCTTTGTAGTAACATCAGACCAGACAAAGGCAGTATGGTTGTATTCATCTGTGGTCACATTCATCTGTGGTCACCTGGTCCTCATTAGGGCCGTAGAGGAGGCCAGTGTCTGGCTTTATGATGAACATTTCCTCCTTTACGTGGATTCAAAAGCTCTCTGTAAGCGTTTGTTGTTTGCATGAAGGCTTTGGAGGACTTTGCCAAGCTGGGCTTGACATTTTCCACATGACAGATGGCATTCAAAGCTTTGCAATCCCAATGGACAAATTTATTGACTGGCTTTGTTTCTAGAGGTGAATAATAAGGCCACTTCTGTCAGGAATGTCAACGTGTGGTTGAGAGGCTGGCATTTTTCTGTGAGGAGACAGGGAAGCAAATAGGTGCCTGGGTACCAGGTACCAATGGTTAGAGAGGTTGGTTCAGTGTTTCCTATTCAGTGTACAGAGATGGGGCTGGGGTCTTCTGATAGAAGGGATCTTCCTAGGCAGGGCAAGTTCTGTGTGCCTTGTACTCACCAGCCAGGCTGTTGCTCAACCCTGCTTTGTACATTCTCCTAAGGCCACACAGCGTATGGGGTTGGGGTGGGGTAGGGGGATTTGCCTTTCATTCCTGCAGCTGTGAGACTGGTTTGTCTTCTGCCAAAGCATTTGTCCCATTTTGTTCTCTTGCTTCACTGGGACATTTCCGGAACCAAATATATTCAACTAGTCCTCAGCATCAGGAGGTAATTGAATATCCAAATGCTCATCCTTTCATTGTCTGATGACCAGAACCAGCTGAAACATCCCATTTTGCAAAACATTAGGCTCTGGCCATTTCCCCTAATTATCTCTTCCATTT